AGAAAATCAAAGACAATGTGCAATTCGATAATTAAAAAGTGACAGCTTATAAACATTACCTAAAATGCATGAGAAAAAATTTGTCGATAAAATCAATATAGCCGAGCTTTTTAGAAGGTAGATGGCAGCACTCATCTATTTTCTTTCTTTAAATTTTTTCTGAATCGTTTTTATCAAAAGCAAAACTGCCATCTACCTTCTAAAAAGCTCGGCTATATTGATTTTATCGACAAATTTTTTCTCATGCATTTTAGGTTATGTTTATAAGCTGTCACTTTTTAATTATCGAATTGCACATTGTCTTTGATTTTCTGTTATTTTCATTTTCAAATTAAATAGTGAAATGGTCTTCGCAATTGTACTATTACCAAAATATCTGAAAAAAATTCGTTTAATTTTGAGTCGATTCAATTCGGCCATGATTGATATAAATTGATTAAATTTTTTGCATCAAAAAATGAGACCGTTTCGTGTATCATTTCTAAAAATGATACAGAAAACGATCTCTTTTTGATATAACTTATGTGCATCAAAACGTTGCAATAAAAAAAGATACAACCAAGTTTACTGTGTTACAATAGATTTCTCACTTTAACCGGATTCATTATTTAACAGCACTTCGTCATTTAAAAAAAAACTAATAATAAAAGCAAAAGTGGCACGCCAGTTTGCAAGAATTTAATATGACCACGTGACATGGAACAATAAACTTGTCAGCTGAACAAATCCGGATTGTTCCATCAGCAATCAACAAAGAGTTTGCTTCTGTAACTGTACGGAATTAACATTTCGAATTGTAATATCAACAAATCTACTGACAACAATCCAAAAATTGTTTGTACAACAATCCCATTTTTCTCCGTGCACAAATAAAAATTTTCTTCATTTTTGAACTTTGCGCGAAGCTGTATATATAATAAAACGTGTTGGATCAAGAAGAAATGTGGAACATTTCTAAGCATATATATATAGAAAAGTTCACATAGTGAATTGGATTTAAACATGAAAAAAGCTTCTTCTTCAAACGAAGAATGGAAATTGAATTGGAAAACCAGAATCAAGGTTTTTACATATAAAAGTGTTCCAATTATGTTTGCAATTTTATACCGCTATTTCTTATATATAGAAAGAGAATATTAGAGGAATATATATCTCTGTACACTAAAATTTGATAATGAAAAAAAATTAAAAATCCAACTTCTGGTAAAATAAATGAATGCTGTTAATTAATGAAAAAGAAACAAAGTTTTCTTAATATAAAAACAAAAGTAAAAGTAAATAATTAAAAAATATTTATTATACGTTAATTAATATATAGAAATCTTTTATATACCTAACAAGTATGGCAATCAACGTGGTTAATGAAATGTTCAAACTGAGAAAACTGTACAATATATATAGAAGATATTGTGTAATTGGAAACGAAGTGGAAGTTTGAAGGTGGGTTACAGAATATTCTAGAAAGACTAAACTTTCATATAAGCAAATTCACTTCTAAAGTATCTAATTATTATGCACTAATTACGTTCTTTGACATTCAAAAGACTCCTGCTATTTATAAACAATCAATTAATTGATCAAATTACACAAAACAGAATCAATTTTCCTATATACACAATACAGAAAAAAAAATTCATTTTTGTAAAAATTAAAAATCTAAAAAAATATTCTTGTCCAAACAACGATAAGAATATTTCATATATTTTACGTTCGCCCTCAATAAAGCATATACTAATAATAAAAAAAACCGGGTTCAAGTTAAAGAGTGTTTATCGAAAATTTGTTGACCGATCACGTCAGTAGACGATCGTAAAGCCAAACTATAAAATTCTCCTTTTTATTCTCTATCTTGGAAAATTGGAAAATCCGTTATATTTTTCAATAAACGGATAATAATTGTATGTGAAAATTTAATTTTTTTTTAAATTTTTATATAAAAACGAAATAGAGGAATAATTTTCTAATTACAGGCCCAAAACTTTTTTAAGTATATCAAAAATTTATATATCACTTGAAATTAAATGAACTATATAGTTTCCACAATCAAGTGTTGTAATCATAATATGACTAAATTCTCTATGGACGTATATATATATATATATATATATATCTACAAGTACTGAATATAACCATTGCTGATGGTGCACTATCGACTGACACTTCAATTCTAAGAGATGTTGTGGCCTAATTGGATAACCTGGGAATAACGTGATATACAGTTTCTCGAGTTGATTTCAAATTCTATTTTGCACTCACGAATAAAATTACAATGGAAAAAAAATTCAATTTTCAATATTCAATTTACATATAAATATATCGATTGTTCAAAAAAAAAATGCATACAAATGCCATAAAAAGAGCATTCATTGATTAATTGAATAATATGCGAAATATTTCGCAAAAAAAAAGGCTTTTCTATTCAATAAAACAGTTTTTTTGTTTTATTTAATTTTAATTATTTAAACAAAGAATCTATTCAAAAAATTTTATATCCGTAATTAAAAACTAAATTTTCTAAACGCTTTTTTTAAATTTATATAATATGTAATAAGTGAAAAATTGTATCTTTTTGAAACACCAATTATTATACAAGAACTAAGAACTCATACAGCCTGCAACCCGACATACACAGAAGTACATATATAAATGAGAGAACTTTTCTGTCTTTATACGACTTCAGGTACACAAAATAAAATTTAACACATTTTTATGAAACATATATATAACTAATTGAAAAAAAATATATTTACATTATTCCTTAAATAAAAATTTTAAAAAAAAATTTCTATCAACAATAATAACTATAAAGAAAAAATAAATTCAAAAATTTTAATAAAATTGTAAAAAATAATATCGTGACTGTTATATTTTTTTAAAAATGCTTATTTAATCATGTAAAATGAAATAAGAAATTCCGAAACAAAATATATATTCTGACAATAAATAAATATATCTTTCAATATATTTCATCTGAAATGGGAACTTTTCAATAAAACGGAAAAAATATAACGATTAATAAAAAAGTCTATATACTAAATTTCACATTGAAAGTGAAATACAAAATATATATATATATATACCTATAGGGCTTACGATCTAATTCATTAGTCGACAGTAAAAAAGATTTATATAAAATAATTTTGTTCGACAGATCTAATATATAACGTCACCGCGTAAAATCGATATCAGCATATATATATATATATATATATTAGTATATATATTTCAAGTGGTCTGATATAGAGAGAGAGAGAGAGCTATTTTAATTCCAATTTTATTGTCCCATTCATATATATATATATATATATATATATATATATATATATATATATATACATATATAGTGGAACATTTTAATCAACTTTTAAAAATCAAAGTATATTTCCTTTTCGTTAAATAAAAACGAATTAGCATATTTTTAATTCCTATATTATACAATTAAATTATAAAAACCGTTAAATAGAAATTTTCCTTTAAATCGAATTCCAAAATCAATACTGAAAAAAACTTTTGTTTGATTCAATTAATCCAGCATTTAACTATTATATCAAATACAAATTTACTTGAAGCAAATATTTTTATTTTTATTCAAATAAACTAAATAATTTTTTCTAATTGATACAAAATTATATACAAATAATAATTACTGAATACAAATAAATATTTACTTAATATAACAGTCTGGTCATTATTTGAATCAATTAAATTTTTTTTTTTTTTTAATCAAACAAAAAAAGCAGGCATACTTTTTCATTTATGAGGAGAATGTAAAAAAAATAAAATCATTTTTTGAATTGCAGACCAATAAAAAATCATTAATTGATAATTATATATTGACTTTTATTTATCAATGGAGGAAAAAAAAAATTGAACTTTTAGTTATATCAAAAAGGAACTGGAGTGGAAAAAAGAAATTAAATTTTATAAAAAAGAATTTCTCCGTAAGAATTATTTTTCTGTCAAACAATAATAAAAATGCTATTTTAACATTTTTCTATATACATATATATATACGTTTATATAGTAATCGGCTTTAAATGTCACAAAAAGTGAACTCTTGCATTTAATTACTATAAAATGATAATAGAAATAATGAAAATTTATAAACAAAAGTAAAGGATCCGGTATTATTTTCCTATTTCACGTTTTTAAGGATTTAAAAAAAAAACCAGTGAATTTTTTCCTATGGCACATAAAAAAAAATATTTGCATATTTATAAGAAAATTATTTTTCCTTTTAAAAACGAAAATAATAATAAAAAGTTCAAAAATATTTTGTTAGCTACTATTTTTAAAAACATTGAAAATTTTCTCCATTTAAAAAAAAAAGAATTTTTTTTTTTTATAAAAAATTGATCTTATTTTTATGTTCTATTTTTTTTTATTATTATTATTATTTAAATTGATATGAAATTTATTCATCGTATGTTATGCAATTTGTGAATAATTTTCGATGAAAATGTCAATGACTGTTTTATACACATATAAACCAAGATTTACATATCAGTGACGCCTCATCTCCGCCTTTATGGGTCCCCCTTTGGCAATAACACGTGACTAACAGACATTCGAGTCAAATCTTGAAAAACCGCAAGTTCAATGTTCAATATCAGAACAACCTTGCCAGTCAAGGCCAATTTTAACAACTTGTTCAAATTTCTTGATCCTTAGTAGAACCGTATATATATATATATATACATTTATATAAATACATATAAAAACGGTAACGAATTTCCAAGAAGGAACCCTCAATGGAATGCCAATAATGCACCTTTTAAGTATTAAAAAGACACCCGACAAATGAAATTGGAAGAAAAAGAAGAAGACGAGAAAAAAAATCCATAGTTATATTTAAGCGAAAGTCATGGCCAAAAACCTCGGACGAGGGACTGATCTACTGGGTACCACTGAGAGTACTATAATACAAGTATGGTGGGGTCTTAAAGTGGGGGTAGAGAGGCAGCTGTTTGCCCACCAAGCGGGACTCGCCCCATGTGTACCCACTAAGCAATGCCACATCAGTTCGACAGTCGTCGTGTTTGTGTTTTTCAACCGAGTCGCGTTTATATATTCCAAAAAAAAAAATGTTTCTATTATTCATTAATTATAAATTTAATAAAAATTTCACATTATATTTATAATAGTGTGTAAAAAAAATATAAATTATTATTCTAAACAATAATTTTAATAAATCAAGTGAAAGTATAAAAAAAAATGTTGTCATGGAAATATCAAACAAAATTATTGGAATATTGGGAAATATTTGACGCTTGGAAATTTTGGAAGACGCGAATAAACGAGATGTTTGTAATTGAAAGTCATATACACGAAGTTATTTTACACACAGATAAATGTAGTATATTGCTATTGTGTGTATATATGTGTGACCAATAATGTAATACAGTGGAAGTGAATGTCGTCTGTTTGAAGTCAACGTAAACCTCGTATAGAACGTGTAAATACAAACGTGTAAACTTCATCGAGAAATACCTACAAATTTTGAGAAACCCCTTGAATTTAATTCAAGCGTTTTCTAGATATAAAGGCTTTATACTGAATTCAAATTCAAATATAAGCCGTGCTGCAATTAACTGTGATAATAGTCGAGGTATTTTCAACATAATAATTATTTTCAACAATATAAATGTATTATTCTTTTTGAAGAGCGAGATTATAGAATGCGTGTCCTCTCAAACTAAACATATTATAGAAAATTTTTAAATAGTATCTCTTAATATATATTAATTTTTTTTTTGAAAATAATACAATATTTATGTAATAAATAATAATAATAGAACATTTTAATTTAAAATTTATAATATAGGTTGGTGAAGTTCACATCGATTACGGTTATCGAAATATTAAAAACCAAGGTACTGCATAAACATAACAAAAAATAGTAATAGGGATCTTCCCCTACTCGGATCGGGTGGTCAATTTTTTTCTACACTTTTCGTTGTATTTTGTGCCAGTAAATGCATTAAAATAGTCTGCCTAAGCCAAATTAAATTTTTTTGGAATGATTTTTATGACGAAAAGTGCTTTAAAGGTGGTAATAAGGGTCTTCCTCTACTCGGATTGGGGGCTTAATTTTTTTCTACACTTTTCGGTGTACTTTGTGCCAGAAATTGCAATAAAATAGTCTGCCTAAGAAAAATTGAATTTTTTTGGAAATTTTTTTTTACGAAAACCGCTTTAATGGTCATAAAATTGGTGTTCCTCTACTCGGATCGGGCTGTCAATTTTTTTCTACACTTTTAGGTGTATTTTGTGCAAGAAAATGCAATAAAATAGTCTGCCTAAGAAAAATTGAATTTTTTTGGTTAGTTTTTTATGCTTTTGGATGCGTTTTTGGTCATAAAAAAGGTGTTCCTCTACTCGGATCGGGCTGTCAATTTTTTTCTACACTTTTAGGTGTATTTTGTGCAAGAAAATGCAATAAAATAGTCTGCCTAAGAAAAATTGAATTTTTTTGGACATTTTTTTTTTACGAAAATCGCTTTAATGGTCATAAAATTGGTGTTCCTCTACTCGGATCGGGCTGTCAATTTTTTTCTACACTTTTAGGTGTATTTTGGGCAAGAAAATGCAATAAAATAGTCTGCCTAAGAAAAATTGAATTTTTTTGGAAATTTTTTTTTACGAAAACCGCTTTAATGGTCATAAAATTGGTGTTCCTCTACTCGGATCGGGCTGTCAATTTTTTTCTACACTTTTAGGTGTATTTTGTGCAAGAAAATGCAATAAAATAGTCTGCCTAAGAAAAATTGAATTTTTTTGGTTAGTTTTTTATGCTTTTGGATGCGTTTTTGGTCATAAAAAAGGTGTTCCTCTACTCGGATCGGGCTGTCAATTTTTTTCTACACTTTTAGGTGTATTTTGTGCAAGAAAATGCAATAAAATAGTCTGCCTAAGAAAAATTGAATTTTTTTGAAAATTTTTTTTTGACGAAAATCGCTTTATTGGTCATAAAATTGGTGTTCCTCTACTAGGATCGGGCTGTCAATTTTTTGCTACACTTTTAGGTGTATTTTGTGCAACAAAATGCAATAAAATAGTCTGCCTAAGAAAAATTGAATTTTTTTGGAAATTTTTTTTTACGAAAACCGCTTTAATGGTCATAAAATTGGTGTTCCTCTACTCGGATCGGGCTGTCAATTTTTTTCTACACTTTTAGGTGTATTTTGTGCAAGAAAATGCAATAAAATAGTCTGCCTAAGAAAAATTGAATTTTTTTGGACATTTTTTTTTTACGAAAATCGCTTTAATGGTCATAAAATTGGTGTTCCTCTACTCGGATCGGGCTGTCAATTTTTTGCTACACTTTTAGGTGTATTTTGTGCAAGAAAATGCAATAAAATAGTCTGCCTAAGAAAAATTGAATTTTTTTGGTTAGTTTTTTATGCTTTTGGATGCGTTTTTGGTCATAAAAAAGGTGTTCCTCTACTCGGATCGGGCTGTCAATTTTTTTCTACACTTTTAGGTGTATTTTGGGCAAGAAAATGCAATAAAATAGTCTGCCTAAGAAAAATTGAATTTTTTTGGAAATTTTTTTTTACGAAAACCGCTTTAATGGTCATAAAATTGGTGTTCCTCTACTCGGATCGGGCTGTCAATTTTTTTCTACACTTTTAGGTGTATTTTGTGCAAGAAAATGCAATAAAATAGTCTGCCTAAGAAAAATTGAATTTTTTTGGACATTTTTTTTTTACGAAAATCGCTTTAATGGTCATAAAATTGGTGTTCCTCTACTCGGATCGGGCTGTCAATTTTTTGCTACACTTTTAGGTGTATTTTGTGCAAGAAAATGCAATAAAATAGTCTGCCTAAGAAAAATTGAATTTTTTTGGTTAGTTTTTTATGCTTTTGGATGCGTTTTTGGTCATAAAAAAGGTGTTCCTCTACTCGGATCGGGCTGTCAATTTTTTTCTACACTTTTAGGTGTATTTTGTGCAAGAAAATGCAATAAAATAGTCTGTCTAAGAAAAATTGAATTTTTTTGAAAATTTTTTTTTGACGAAAATCGCTTTATTGGTCATAAAATTGGTGTTCCTCTACTAGGATCGGGCTGTCAATTTTTTGCTACACTTTTAGGTGTATTTTGTGCAACAAAATGCAATAAAATAGTCTGCCTAAGAAAAATTGAATTTTTTTGGACATTTTTTTTTACGAAAACCGCTTTAATGGTCATAAAATTGGTGTTCCTCTACTCGGATCGGGCTGTCAATTTTTTTCTACACTTTTAGGTGTATTTTGGGCAAGAAAATGCAATAAAATAGTCTGCCTAAGAAAAATTGAATTTTTTTGGACATTTTTTTTTTACGAAAATCGCTTTAATGGTCATAAAATTGGTGTTCCTCTACTCGGATTGGGGGCTTAATTTTTTTCTACACTTTTCGGTGTACTTTGTGCCAGAAATTGCAATAAAATAGTCTGCCTAAGAAAAATTGAATTTTTTTGGTTAGTTTTTTATGCTTTTGGATGCGTTTTTGGTCATAAAAAAGGTGTTCCTCTACTCGGATCGGGCTGTCAATTTTTTTCTACACTTTTAGGTGTATTTTGTGCAAGAAAATGCAATAAAATAGTCTGCCTAAGAAAAATTGAATTTTTTTGAAAATTTTTTTTTGACAAAAATCGCTTTATTGGTCATAAAATTGGTGTTCCTCTACTAGGATCGGGCTGTCAATTTTTTGCTACACTTTTAGGTGTATTTTGTGCAAGAAATTGCAATAAAATAGTCTGCCTAAGAAAAATTAAATTTTTTTGGAATGATTTTTTTTACGAAAATCGCTTTAATGGTCATAAAATTGGTGTTCCTCTACTCGGATCGGGCTGTCAATTTTTTGCTACACTTTTAGGTGTATTTTGTGCAAGAAAATGCAATAAAATAGTCTGCCTAAGAAAAATTGAATTTTTTTGGTTAGTTTTTTATGCTTTTGGATGCGTTTTTGGTCATAAAAAAGGTGTTCCTCTACTCGGATCGGGCTGTCAATTTTTTTCTACACTTTTAGGTGTATTTTGTGCAAGAAAATGCAATAAAATAGTCTGTCTAAGAAAAATTGAATTTTTTTGAAAATTTTTTTTTGACGAAAATCGCTTTATTGGTCATAAAATTGGTGTTCCTCTACTAGGATCGGGCTGTCAATTTTTTGCTACACTTTTAGGTGTATTTTGTGCAACAAAATGCAATAAAATAGTCTGCCTAAGAAAAATTGAATTTTTTTGGACATTTTTTTTTACGAAAACCGCTTTAATGGTCATAAAATTGGTGTTCCTCTACTCGGATCGGGCTGTCAATTTTTTTCTACACTTTTAGGTGTATTTTGGGCAAGAAAATGCAATAAAATAGTCTGCCTAAGAAAAATTGAATTTTTTTGGACATTTTTTTTTTACGAAAATCGCTTTAATGGTCATAAAATTGGTGTTCCTCTACTCGGATTGGGGGCTTAATTTTTTTCTACACTTTTCGGTGTACTTTGTGCCAGAAATTGCAATAAAATAGTCTGCCTAAGAAAAATTGAATTTTTTTGGTTAGTTTTTTATGCTTTTGGATGCGTTTTTGGTCATAAAAAAGGTGTTCCTCTACTCGGATCGGGCTGTCAATTTTTTTCTACACTTTTAGGTGTATTTTGTGCAAGAAAATGCAATAAAATAGTCTGCCTAAGAAAAATTGAATTTTTTTGAAAATTTTTTTTTGACAAAAATCGCTTTATTGGTCATAAAATTGGTGTTCCTCTACTAGGATCGGGCTGTCAATTTTTTGCTACACTTTTAGGTGTATTTTGTGCAAGAAATTGCAATAAAATAGTCTGCCTAAGAAAAATTAAATTTTTTTGGAATGATTTTTTTTACGAAAATCGCTTTAATGGTCATAAAATTGGTGTTCCTCTACTCGGATCGGGCTGTCAATTTTTTGCTACACTTTTAGGTGTATTTTGTGCAAGAAAATGCAATAAAATAGTCTGCCTAAGAAAAATTAAATTTTTTTGGAATGATTTTTATGACGAAAAGTGCTTTAAAGGTAATTGTATATGTAATGAAATTTCAATTTTTTTTTCAAAAATGTCAATGTAGGGGATTACATCAGGGTTGTGTTTCTAATGAATTTAGCGTTGAACTTAATTTTTTTTGTTATAGGTATAATGTTTTTTGTAATTTTTTGTTGTGTTCATGCAGTATCTTATGATTTTTAAAATTTTGATGATCGTAATCGATGTAAACTTCACCGATCTTATAATATTGAATATATAATATTCTACTATAATTCATAATCTAATATATGTTAATATTATTATGGAGGTTACTTATTAATGACATTTGCATAATTCACTTGTCCTCATGAGGTGGACATTGATATAGTAATATTGTCATATATGATAGTACTATTATTATTAATTATTAGTCAATATTATTCAAATAGTTAATTCTATATTATTTTTATAATAATATATAGTTTTTTGTAATATATATTATAATGAGACAAAAGTTTGGAACGATCAAATGAACGAAAATTTTTTTTTTTCATTTACTAATAAAAACCCAATAACATCACTCAGAGTAGTTAATAATACAATAATTATCAATAAAAAACCAAAACTATTCACATTAAGGGTGAAAACAACCCTTAATCATATTATGTCTATTGTGAAAAAAAGAATGTCCAAATACAACAATTTGGTGTTCGGCTTTTTTCTTAAAAATACCCCCAAAAATTCTCTAAAAATATACCCCACCAAAATCCATTATCCACATGCGGCGCTCGCACCCCTAAAAGCCACCCCTATAGATGGTGAAAATAAAAGTGTCATTTTTCCACGTTTGGTGTTCGGCTTTTTTCTTAAAAATACCGCCAAAAATTCTCTAAAAATATACCCAACCAAAATCCATTATCCACATGCGGCGCTCGCACCCCAAAAAGCCACCCCTATAGATGGTGAAAATAAAAGTGTCATTTTTCACCCTTTGGTGTTCGGCTTTTTTCTTAAAAATACCGCCAAAAATTCTCTAAAAATATACCCAACCAAAATCCATTATCCACATGCGGCGCTCGCACCCCTAAAAGCCACCCCTATAGATGATTAAAATAAAAATGTCATTTTTCACCCTTTGGTGTTCGGCTTTTTTCTTAAAAATACCGCCAAAAATTCTCTAAAAATATACCCCACCAAAATCCATTATCCACATGCGGCGCTCGCACCCCTAAAAGCCACCCCTATAGATGATTAAAATAAAAGTGTCATTTTTCACCCTTTGGTGTTCGGCTTTTTTCTTAAAAATACCGCCAAAAATTGTCTAAAAATATACCCCACCAAAATCCATTATCCACATGCGGCGCTCGCACCCCTAAAAGCCACCCCTATAGATGATTAAAATAAAAGTGTCATTTTTCACCCTTTGGTGTTCGGCTTTTTTCTTAAAAATACCGCCAAAAATTCTCTAAAAATATACCCAACCAAAATCCATTATCCACATGCGGCGCTCGCACCCCTAAAAGCCACCCCTATAGATGGTGAAAATAAAAGTGTCATTTTTCCACGTTTGGTGTTCGGCTTTTTTCTTAAAAATACCGCCAAAAATTCTCTAAAAATATACCCCACCAAAATCCATTATCCACATGCGGCGCTCGCACCCCTAAAAGCCACCCCTATAGATGGTGAAAAATAAAAGTGTCATTTTTCACCCTTTGGTGTTCGGCTTTTTTCTTAAAAATACCGCCAAAAATTCTCTAAAAATATACCCAACCAAAATCCAATATCCAAATGCGGCGCTCGCACCCCTAAAAGCCACCCCTATAGATAGTGAAAAAGAAAAGTCTCAATTTTCACACTTTGGTGTTCGGCTTTTTTCTTAAAAATACCGCCAAAAATTCTCTAAAAATATACCCAACCAAAATCCATTATCCAAATGCGGCGCTCGCACCCCTAAAAGCCACCCCTATAGATGATTAAAATAAAAGTGTAAAATTTCACCCTTTGGTGTTCGGCTTTTTTCTTAAAAATACCGCCAAAAATTCTCTAAAAATATACCCAACCAAAATCCATTATCCACATGCGGCGCTCGCACCCCTAAAAGCCACCCCTATAGATGGTGAAAAATAAAAGTGTCATTTTTCACCCTTTGGTGTTCGGCTTTTTTCTTAAAAATACCGCCAAAAATTCTCTAAAAATATACCCAACCAAAATCCAATATCCAAATGCGGCGCTCGCACCCCTAAAAGCCACCCCTATAGATGGTGAAAATAAAAGTGTCATTTTTCCACGTTTGGTGTTCGGCTTTTTTCTTAAAAATACCGCCAAAAATTCTCTAAAAATATACCCAACCAAAAACCAATATCCAAATGCGGCGCTCGCACCCCTAAAAGCCACCCCTATAGATAGTGAAAAATAAAAGTCTCAATTTTCACACTTTGGTGTTCGGCTTTTTTCTTAAAAATACCGCCAAAAATTCTCTAAAAATATACCCAACCAAAATCCATTATCCAAATGCGGCGCTCGCACCCCTAAAAGCCACCCCTATAGATGATTAAAATAAAAGTGTCATTTTCCACCCTTTGGTGTTCGGCTTTTTTCTTAAAAATACCGCCAAAAATTCTCTAAAAATATACCCAACCAAAATCCATTATCCACATGCGGCGCTCGCACCCCTAAAAGCCACCCCTATAGATGGTGAAAAATAAAAGTGTCATTTTTCACCCTTTGGTGTTCGGCTTTTTTCTTAAAAATACCGCCAAAAAAAAATTCCTCACTATTAAAAACTTTTCTTACTTTATCACTTTATTAAACTTGTAAATAAATTAAAAAATTAACATTATTGAAAATTAATGCAATATGTAACATGTAGATAAAAGAACACCAAACATGAAGCTGAAGTCCGCAACGTTTAAAAAAACGAAAAATTAAAAATGTAAAAAATTAACTTTTCGCAATGACAACCGCTTAAAATACACTTTACTATAACAAAAACAAAATGTTAAATCATGAACCCCCAAATAAACCTGAAATTGGGGGTAACTTGACCCACGTCATCAGTAAAGTACCCTTAAATGGCCCAACTTTTCAAATTTTTTGGTTAAATTAACTTCTCCTAACCATAAGACTAAAAGATATGTACACTAGAACCCCCCAGAGGGGGCGGAAAGCATTTATTTTGGGGTTAACTTGCCCCACGTCATCAGTAAAGTACCCTTAAATGGCCCAACATTTCAAATTTTTTGGTTAAAATGGCTTCTCCTAACCATAAGACTAAAAGATATGTACATTAGAACCCCCCAGAGGGGGCGGAAAGCGTTGGTGTTGGGGTTAACTTGCCCGACGTCATCAGGAAAGTACCCTTAAATGTCGACTTATACCGCGCCGTGGTTGCTGTTTACACTGGCGCGCGCCGACATAAAATGATTGATATTTAATATCTCGAAAACAAAAAAACTCGGCATTCTGAAAATTTATATACAGATCGGAAAAAACCTTAACTTTTCTTTGTAATTATTTATTTCAAAAAAACGAAATTCACCATCGGAAAGAGCATGAAAAAAAACTTCAAAAAACATACCTGCCTAAATTTTATTTATTGTATTTATAGACAGAAAAAATTCAAATAGTAGGCGGTGTCAGGAAAAACTGATAAAATTGACCCCCTCTATCTCCCCCAAAATTTGAAAAAAGTCAAAACTTTTTTTGGGGATATTTTTCTATCAGGTAGGACAACAATTTCCCTAAATTTTACTTTTTTGAGAAATCAATTTTTTAACTCAGGACATTACACGTAAAATGCCTCACATTTGAGCCTGTAAATATTTGCGGAATGCAATTTGATGTTAACCTCCCCCCAAAAAATTTACGTCTATAATATCTTTGTTATTATGCATAGTTAATAATCGATTAAGCTAGAAAAATACCTTCATGTTTAAGTTGTTTGATCTTCGATGCGTGCAAAAATTTTAATTCTGAGATTTAAGTATTATATGTATAGTAACCCGAGGCGAAATTTAAGGCATACTTTACAAGGAGTAAAAAGAATAGCCGGGACCAAAAATTTTATTGTATAGATACCTTCTGTAATATACGAAAAAAAAATTCTAAACAATGGACGGAACGAACACTTTAAAATAATAAGAAAAATTTATTGACTTAATGAAAATTAAAAAATAAGAGTTTTTAATAACAAAATTTTTCTTCATTTAATAAAATTAAAAAATTTTTCAACAAAAAATTTTAAAAAATTTTATGTACAAAATTTTTTATTGTTTTGGGAATTAAAAAAATGTTTTTTGAAAAAAATATTATTTAAATCTTTTTAACAAAAATTTGTTAATTCAGAAAATATTTTATCATTTTAATTTGTAATAATGGTTCCTGGAATTAAATGTGCACGCACACATATGTCAGAGACAGTGTAAGTTTGAACCTAGTGGATAGAAGCAGAGATATTTACTTGCAGGCGACATTGACTCTGGCTGGGACTGGTGTAGTGCAGGCGGGGATATTCGGTCGCGTCCGGTGTACTTCGTTTACGCTCGGCGCTACCCCCGCCACATTCACCTACAAGGCTCTGGCGAAAGTCGACTGTAAAACGTTTCTTGCATTTCTCGACTAATTTCGTTCTCTCTCCACTCGGAAACAAATTTTTTTGTGCTAGCACGGCGGTTTAAATGCAACACAATTTTTTTGTTAAATATTTAGCTAATATGTAACATAAATTTTTTTGTTAAAAAAATTGATTTTTTTATTACGAAAAAAAAATTTTTTCCAAAAATTGTTATTTTTTATTACAAAAAAAATTTGTTTTCTAAAAATTGTTATTTTTTTTAAGAGAAAAAAATTTATTTAAAAGAGAATTTTTTTTTAAATGTTATCAAAATATGAGTCATATTTTTTTCGAAAGAAATTCGAAAAAACGGCTTTTTTCCCTTGTCACAGTAGACTTCCCCCTTAAATA